CCTTTGACTGCCAATGAGGTAAACTCTGAATAAGGTGTGGTTTGGCCCGTCACCATGTCAGAGCCCTGTACCTGCAGCACACACATATCTTGATTTAAAAAAAAAGAAGAAAAAAACAGCTGAGTCAGTTTTTGATCCCATGACATCACTGGGTTCCACATGACCCTTCCCAGGATTCAGTCTGAGAGACAAAGCACTTTCCAGAAAACCAGTCTAAACCGGTTCCAGACAACAAGCTGAAGTGCTGTTAACCCTCACGGAGACAGGAGAGAGGACAGGCAGTGAAGTCTGTCTGCAGGGAGGCTGCAGGCATTCCACAACAGAGTCTAGGACACGGGCACGCACTCTTAAAGGGGCCATTCCAAGCCCAGCCTCAATGTCCCAACAGGGCAGGACACCAGAAATGAGACTGTAAGAGTTCACCAGGGGACAGAAAGGAATTTAGCTGCCAGGCACTAGTAGAATTCCCAAAGTGCCAGGTCTCCTCAGGACAGTCAACAGTCATGTCCAGCAACACAGGGCCCGAGGAGCAGCTCACCATGTGAGCCCCTCAGAGAGTCCCAACTCATACCTGCGTGGCGTGCCTACACTCAAGACCTCCCTGCCCTGTGTCCACACAGGCAGGGCATCCAACGCCTCAGTTTCCTCATCAATGAACACTCTGGGAAGCAACACAAAACAACGAAGGGGCCATGTCATCATACATGGGACACGGTCCTGAGCTAACTCACTCACAACCTCCTTAAAGGAGGCCCTGTCCCAACTGGCCCTGCTGTGGACTTAGACTGAAAGGAAGGAAGAGACAGCTGCTTCTTGCTCCTGGTGCAGGAAGCAGAGTGGCCTCTCTGCACACGTGTTAAGCCAGTGTGGCACTGACATCTGCTCCTAACAGGCAGCCCAAAAGGGTCGAACTGAGCAGGTCTCTTTGTGGCCACATCACCCTTGGGGTACTCCCCACCCATTTTGATGGAGGGTGGGGCCATAGGCTAGGACCTCACCTCCATCTGCCCCCAACTCCTCCTGGCATCCCAGCCTGCACCTGTCATCTACCCCAGCTAGCCCCATACAACCTCATCCCTCTGCTTTCGCCCAGATCTCTCCATCCCCTCATCTACCTCCCTGTCGTCTCTTCACTGCCCCACAGGGAAGCTAGGGATGCTCCCACGTGCCTCTTAGCCTAAAATTCTACGGTTTCTTTGTCCAATGTGCTCTGATCACAACAAACCCTGCCAGCCTGCTCGCTAGTTCTATCCATCCTGCCCCACTTTGTGAGACTACAGATGAGTCACTGCCTTGAGTATCCACCATTGTGGGAGGGGTGGGTCACCTCTCCCCTGGGCATGGCCTGAAACAGGAGCTCCTCAAACATTTAGAAAACTGAATAACAGGAGCGATTCTGGGGCTGCCTTGGATGGCAGGTATGTGTTGGCCCCAGGATCAGGGAGAAGCTGATGTGAGTGGAAGATGAGGGGAGATCAGGATCTCAAGCTAGAAAGATTCCCACTGGAGTCTGGGAAAATTCTACCCCAGAGGGAGAAGCTCCCAATTTGGCCTGGTGCCTACTGGGGTTGAAAGGAGTCCTACGTGGACAAGGAGAACGTACCTCACACACAACGCTATACCCCACAATCTTGCACTCAGAACGCCCCATGCCTCCCCACTCTGCCTCTGCTTCAGCCCAGGAGAGCCCACCTAAGGGTAAGTCCCGAGATCTTCTCCATAAAACTCATCTGAACGCCAAACCCTGTGTGAAGTCCTTCCTCCTAATTGCCCACTGATTGGGGCTGTGGTCTGACAAGACTATATTGTGTGCCAGGTGACCAGATCAGTGAAGTGGTACTAAGTGGCCTCATTTCACTGTCACTAGTGTAGGACAAGCAGTCACAAGGAGCAAGAGCAGAGCCTCAAACCCACAGGGCCGTTCCCTCCAGCCCCAGCAGAGGGCCAAGGAATCTATAGGTTTGTGCTGTGTATGCAGTGTTAGGGCAACTCACCCTAAGCCCAGGAGCTGGAATGCTGCCAACCCCTGGCCCAGAACCGATGGCCTGGCCTGCGCCTTGGACAGGCAAGACCTTCTGAACCCCTCCCCCACCACAGGAAGGACAAGCACAGCTGGAGAGGGTGTGGCCTGCCATTAGGGATGGCCCCTCCTCCACAGCCAGGCGATTGCCTTAGCTCCCACTGGGGCCTATTGTGGCCAATCCCTGGCCTCTCAAGGCTCTGTTCCTGGGGAGGGCAGGTGATGGTAAGGAGAGCACTCCTCTTA